CAAAATAAGAACTAGATTAAGGAGAGAAATTAACCAAGATTGTCTCTATATAAAGGTGATTTGGTAATAGCTTTTTACAATATCCATAATTAATTTACAATAACTTTTTTTTTCTCTTGTTAAAAAGTAATCTACAGTTACAAAATGAAAAATCTCTCCACTTTGCTGACGATAGCTCTCCTCCTTTGCGCCGCCACGCTAACGTGCACTGCCCGCCATGAACCGGCCTATTTCGCCTCCTTCACAACCTCTCCGGCGGATACACTTAGTCTGGTTAGTTAGTCATATATACGTACACATGCACATTGCATGTTATATCGTCACATAGATTCATATCATTCATGATTCATGCATAGTTATATATTTTCGTTATGTAATTTAATTTAAGTAATTTCATTTGTGTTTCAGGAAATGATAGAATCAAAACTACACGATGTGGCGGGAGAGAGCTGCGATAAAGAAGACAACGAAGATTGCTTGATGATGAGAAGAGCATTGACCGATCATCTTGATTATATCTATACACAGAAGAAAAACAATTAACCCTTCTTAGCATATAAATATATATTAATTATTCCAACTATTGTGAATTTCCAATTATTCTCACATGTTACACATGTGTATATTAGGGTCATTGATAAATTCAATTTGTTCTTTTGACAGAAAGTGTCAAATTATTCATAATGTATATATATAATCATTAATAAATCCAAGTATGTTTTATTTTAATGGGAGATGTAAAACTGATATTCCCACATAATTCAACTGTAGACAATGAATAAAATGGACGAATGTAATAAGTGAGAAAAAGGTAAAATAGCATTATGCAAATTACAAGTCAAATTCATAATATAACATCTTTATGGTTTATTAAATATATATTTGGGTGTAAATGAAGAAAAAGGTACAAGAATGTCAATCAAAGAAATCATTCGGCGAGAGTAGATAAAATGTTGTAAACTACCATCTTGACAGATTTGCAGGATTGTGAAATGAGAAACCTCCCCAAGAAGATGAAGAACTCTGCTTCCCTGCATCATCCAAACTCTTGAGCGGTTCAGCCTGCACAGCCTCGGGTGCACCGGTTAGCCTCTGAACCAGCTCTTTGAAGTTTACCGGCTCCACTCGGTAGACATGAGGATGCATTGGATTCAAAGGGGACGTTCCAGGCCTCTTTAAAGGCTTTGAAGGTTGTTTTCGGGTTGAATGGAGTGAAGCTAGGTAATTTTTCGTTGTCCTTGTCGCGGTTTCTTGAGCGTTAAGGTAACTTTGAGACAAAAATCGCTGTGATGTTGCTTCCATTGAGACTTGAGAGATATCGCTTAAAGAAACTTCTTCGGATGTTGGGAGTTAACAGTTAAGTGTCGTGTTATATATTGATGAGATATGCAACATATTCATTATTCAACGCTGGTCAAGCATATGGTTTTTGACTCTCATTAAATATTCGACTTTTGAGATGCATTGTTTTTTATTTATGAGAATCATTAGTGAATAGATAGAGAAAATTTCAACGAGTGTGTTCTGAATATTTTATTAATTCGATAGTAAGAATAAGTGGATAACAGTTTAACCCTATTAAAAGAAATGTTTTATAACCAAATTGAAGACTTTATCCAATACTATAATACAGAAGCCGTCCACGTGTTCTAACCTCTAATGATGAGAAGATAATTATCGATAAGCCTTCAGATTTGAATCTGAGTCTGAATCTATTATTAGTTTTGCTTTTTTTCTTTATATAACAAGATATCTGTTATTTGATTTCTAGAAGTACTATGGTCAAAAATAACAAAGAAGAAAACATGTGCAACCATTTAATAAATTAAACAGCACAACAAGGGCCTGTCAATTAAATTGAAGCAAGACGTACAGGCTGAAATATATTGAGGCCCATCAAGCTCTTCAGTTCGAATCACAATTATTTGGGGTCTCTATCAATTTATTAAATAATTTATAGAAGGATCTTCAAAGATATAATTTGCTGGAGAAAAAAACACACGAAAAGCCAAAATAGCCATGTAAATATTCCTATCATTTTTGCAATTTGCCAATTATTTTTCATTAAATTTTGAATATTCTAGTTTACCAAAAACGTGATTTGTGTTTTTAATCTATTTCATGGAGGATAGTGAGGGAGTTCATCACATCTCCTATTTTTTTCAAGTTTTTAATGTCAACTGTTGACTTCACATATTTTAGCAAATGGGTCTCATATTAGGTTTTACGGTTTTAATATGCACCACGTTTGAGGGTAGCATAATTTTATTTTGTTATGATCATAATCAAAAATATTATCTTTTTTTTTTAGTAAGTATCTACCAAACTTTCAGTTTCTCGTAAAGTGATCAACAACCAAAAAAAGTCGTCCTTTGGTTATTACAATTATGCATCTCCCTACGTAAATGCCAACTCTATTATAAAGTTTTTAGAGTGATAACATTGCTTTGATGAATTAATATATCACATAATTAATTGTCATTAATATGGCCTTGTGGGTGGGAAATGAAATGATGAAACAAGAAATATCTTAGCTGGATTCGCTCAATGTCTCTATCTATGCGTTTAATATAATTTTCTTGTAAGCTATATAGAGTGGAAATGTCAAATGTGTATATACATACTTATATATATACGTACAAATAAAAATATGTATGTATAAATAGTAGCAAGACATATCTCTTCGCACATTGTGATAAAGATAAGATGAGCAAGAAAAAGGAGACGAAGCTAAGCAAGTACATGAAGGTCCCCATAAACATGCTGGCGAAAGCTAGGAACTTGTACATACGAGGCATGAATCAATTGTCTTCTCATGAGCTTATTGGCAGCAGCGGTTTAGGTTTTGGGGTACCGGTTTGCCAGGTAAGTGCTCTTCCGCGAAGTTTCAGCGCTAGCCACTCGCTATATTCCTCGAGAGCCGAAGATAGTCATGTGGCTGAGCTTGTAAGAGCCGCATCAGCTAGGAATATGAGTCTTGATGCATGGCAAGGACCACCGAAATTGCGAAAGGCTCAGAGTTCAAGAACTTGTGGTGGTGTTGGTGGTCATCAAGAGATCGAGAGAATTGATGAGACAAGCCCTTTGATTACTTTTGGGAGTAATCACAAAATGCTTCCAAGGAGTAAAAGTTATGGCGTTGCCAAATATACTCATGCTATCAAATAATTTGTTTTTATGTTGATTCAGAACGATGGGGTTGGGTTTCTTAATGTAAGAACAAGAAACAACGAATTGTGAAAATACATTTCATCATGCATGGGTTTATTCTGTTAGTTATTTATGTCTACTGTTGTAAAAAAAGTGAAAAGTGAAATTGTTAATGTGATATTGCTTGTTTTAATCCAAGACTCAAAAGTTTTTGTCACAGATTTAATATAGTCTTCTCACTTATATATTCACTAGTTGGCATTATAAAAATCATAAATAAACATGTGATTGTGATATTATAACCAAAATCTAGATATACATCAGCAAACTCAATGATTATGAAAGACCATGGATTATCAAAGTGTACTTCGAAAAAAATACTCAAAGTCAACATAATTAGAAAAATTCACCATGGATTCATTATTAGGATAATTGAACGGCACAGATTGAAGTGCGAGAAGTCTTACTCAAGATCAGAATGAACGTAACCGGCACACGCACAATCACCTGATTATCAGCAAAATTAAGGGCTCAGATAATCTCACTCCGACACGTGTCATCATCGTAAATCGGATGACGGTCTCCACTACAAATGCATCCCGTACCATACTACCATGTGTGTCAATTAACTCCATTGACCATTGACAATTCCTAGTTACGAAAACGCCAGCGTTTAATACCAGATAAACTATATGATATTTTTTTTTGTTAACAATATATGTTAAATAACCAATTAATAACAGTTAGTTGTTCTTTTGTTTGGACTAAAAAATGAATAATATTAATAAAATTTTATAAACAAAATGCACTATGTAAGTATATGTATTTAAGCAAACTATATTCATTGGAAATTAATTCCAGCGATTAGAAATTGATGAATGACAACTTGACATGTGGCTTCTGCCTTCTGGATTTATAAACTCACATCGGTCCATCGAAGTCAACAGGATAAGTGCATGCAAATTACGTTCAAAACACGTGATAAACCCTCCCGAACCTGCAAAAGTAACGGAACACTGCGAACATAACTGGTGTAGGCGAGTTGCATGTTTGATGTGTTCTTTCCATAACTGGAACACTGCCATTTGGAATAACATTGTACTTGATTTAATATATTTCATCGATACAAACTATGAAAGGTTCACATAGACATATTATCCCACTCAGCTATCTTTTTTTTTGTTTCTAAGTGGGAATAAATTTCGATTAGACACACAACACATATATATACACGATCTGTCTTGTTTTATTTGCAATCAGATACAAATCACATTATATTTCTCCTTTCGCATATCAAAACACAAACTTACGTATTTCATCGTTTCTTCAACTCTGTGATGTCTATCTGTTTAATTACCATCATTAAAAGTATTTTTATTTTATTTAATTGACATGCATAATTATCAAAATAGTTGCAGAAACGTGATAAACTGTATAAGTTGTTTGGAAATTAAGACTACTACTGTCTACTGCCACTTGAAAATATTACAGAAAGATAAGTTTTAACTTTAAAAAAAAACATTATTGTTGACAACTTTGGAAAAAAAACATTTCAGATTCATATCAACCAAGTTACATTTTTCTATATAAACGAAACCCTAGCTAATAACAATTATTCACCACGCGAACTAACACACACACACACAATACAAAGAAGAATGTTTTACTTCATTGTTCTCCCTCTCTTTATCTTTCTTTTAAGTTACAAGTTCACAAGGCAAAATTATAACCTCCCTCCGTCGCCATGGTCTCTTCCCGTCGTCGGCCATCTCCACCTCCTTAAACCACCGATTCACCAGCTCTACCATAACTTGTCCCAAAAATACGGCCCAATCTTCTCCCTCCGATTCGGCTCCCGCCGCATCGTGGTCATAAGTTCCTCTTCTCTCGTCCAAGAATCATTCACTGGCCAAAACGATATCATTTTAACAAACCGACCTCTCAACATGGCGGCCAAATACATCAATTATAACGGCACCACTGTCGGTACCTCACCTTACGGCGACCACTGGCGTAACCTCCGTCGAATTTGCACGGTCGAAATCCTCTCAAACCACCGCCTCAGCAACTTTCTCCACATCCGCAAAGAAGAAATCTATCGGATGCTCACGCACCTCTCACGTGACACTAACGCCAATGGTTTCACTCTTGTAAACCTAAGACCACTTCTTTCCGACCTAGCGTTTAACAACATTGTCAGAATGGTCACAGGAAAGATATACTACGGGAACGATGATGTTTCCAAAGAGAAAGAAGAAGAAGCATTGTTGTATAAGAAGCTCGTGTCTGATATAGCTGCAGCAGCCGGCGCGAGTCACGCTGGCGATTACTTGCCGGTGCTGAAACTGTTCGGAAACAAGTACGAGACCAAAGTAAAGTCTACTGGCAAAGCCGTCGATGAGTTCTTGCAGCGTTTGCTCGATGAGTGTAAGAGAGACATGGAAAGTAACACAATGGTAAGTCATTTGCTCTCTCTCCAACAACAGGAACCAGAGTATTACACTGACGTTACCATCAAAGGCCTTATGATGGTAAGTACTGTATAAATCTCCATATTATAGTAATTAATTAAATCTCTTTTGAGTTATTTTACGTAAATTAATATTTAAAACCCACCAAAAGGGAATGATAAACGCCGGGACGGAGACAACCGCCGTAGCACTCGAGTGGGCGATGACGAATTTGTTAAAACATCCAAAAGTGTTAGAGAAAGCAAAATCTGAGATCGACGCTGAGATCGGTGAAGACCGTTTAGTCGACGAACCTGACATCGCCGTCCTCCCTTATCTCCAAAACGTAGTCTCCGAAACATCAAGATTGTTCCCGGTGTCGCCGCTTCTAATCCCTCGCTTGACGGCGAAAGACATCAAGATCGGCGGTTACGATGTACCGAAAGACACGATCGTTGTGGTTAACGCTTGGACGATACAGAGAGATCCAAAGATTTGGGACGATCCAGAGAGTTTTAAACCGGACCGGTTTAGTAATAATGGTAAAGAGCATTATGTTCACACGTTGATTCCGTTTGGTACTGGCCGGAGAATTTGTCCCGGCGCCGGTCTAGGGCAGAAGATAGTCACGTTGGCGTTGGGATCGTTGATTCAATGTTTTGAGTGGGCGAAAGTGAAAGGTGATGAAGAGATTGATATGCAAGTTACTAATGGGCTTACTATGCGTAAGATTGAACCTTTACAGGCTTTATGCAGGCCTAGGCCCATTATGACTAAACATGTACGCTAATCAAATAAAGATCAGTCATGATTCCGATTTCAAGAACTGCCATTAGTTGTAGCAAGGGAATAGTAGTTAATAATGTGTTGATGCATCAAACAGTAACAATAAATGATAACAAAAACTTACAAGATATGGGGACTGTAAGCACGACACTACACCACTCAACCTTACCGTGGATCTCATGTTCATTGCGCTTTTCTAAAGCAATCTCAGCACACCAAATCACCTTCTCTTCGTGCACATCCTTATCCCACAAAACCGCAAGCTTTCCTCCAAAATTCTCTAATCTAATACGATTGTGATCTTTTAGTAATTTAAGCAGTTTTTTCAAACCCTTCAAAGCTTTCCAAGATCCTCCATCAAAATCGTACCATTCCAGCTTTTCCGACCATCCATAACCGAACAATATATTATCGATGACGCAAGAATAACTGGTAATCCAACCCGTATTCGTTAATCCTACAACATCCCATTTATTTTCCTTCAGCTTGTAAACCATATTACTCTTTTTTTCAGACCCAGAGATGTAAAGCTTTCCATCAATGGCTAAGCTATCCAAAAAAAAATCCTCTTGTAGTTCCGCGGCAGGGCTTGGCACATGCTCCCATGACTTGGTTTTGGGATCGAAACACTCGATCCAATTCGAGGAATCATAATCTCCCAAACCTCCTGCTACATATATTTTTCCATCAAGAACACTCACATTAGGGTAACCTCGAACCACCGACATGCTTGGAGCCTTGTGCCAAGTGTGATTCCGACAGTCCATGAACTTAACACGAGATAGGGTGTAATGGCTAACTTGGTACACATTACACCCAACTGCGATTAGATGACAATCCCACCAATTCGTATAAGAAAATTTATGGGTTGCGACGAAAACCAAAAGATTTTTGTCTCTTGACCTTTTCTCTTTCTTTGTTAGAAATTTATTTGGTTTAATGCATAGAGTAGGGTTAGGAGCAGTGTTTTGAGTCGGTCTCCGGCAGAGAGTGAACAAACGTGTTCTATTGCAGTCGTCATGGGACTCTATACACACATAGAGACAACTCTCGGTGCAGCCTAAGAGAGTTCGAGTTTGGTAAAGCTCAAGTGAAGTAAGGAGAGAACGAAATCTCCTGGAAACTAAAGAAAGAATAGGATAGTACAATCTCGAGACGCGGGCTAAACAGTTCAAAACCATGTCATCAGGAAGCATTATAAAGGTCATCGTTGTATTTGCAACCGTTGACTTTTCTCTGTCCATGGCTGTCGAAGCCAACATTAACTGGAACGTATAGATACAAATCCAGAACATCTATTATTTTATATTGTATGCATATATGATATATTTCCTAAATCTAGTTGAACTCGGTTTTAGTTTATCAGGTAATAGTGGAATAGATATTAGTATATTACTAAATTAATATTATAATTGACAATTATCTGACTGAAACCAAATTTGTTAAATTTCTCAATTCTATAAAACGGTTACACAACCTTACCATATATCATTAACTTATTTTGTTAGAAAATTGTAAATGAGAAAAATATCAATGAAATTTATTTACATTGTTTTCTTACTTGTTCTCTACGGTAAGTTTCTAATAGTTTATATGTGTAACAAAAACAACAACGTGCAGATTTGTGTTTATCTATAAATTATAACGGTGTGCTATTGATTTTGTGGTGATAACTCTTCAAAATACTTAGATGAATTATCTAATATTTGTATGTGCTTAGATCGTTATGGTGATCAGAGCATACTTTGAGAAAATACCAAAACAGAGTACTTAAAACTTATTACAAATGAGAAAATACTAATTATGCTTATAATCTTTTTAATTAGCTATCTGTCTATTGTTAATGCTCTTGGTTATGATTTGATTTATTTTGGCAATTACTAAACCATTCATTCCTGATTATTTAACGTTGTGCTCTGAATCCTTTGAATATTTGGATCCTGACTGAACCTCGTTTCAAGCAATGGTACAAGCTAAGTTCATTTAAAAGTTTATTAGACATATGATTTGTCTCTTTTCTACATTTTCCAAACCACTAAAACACAAAACGATGAAAACCTTGATACTGGAACAGAGCGACGAGCAGCAGAGGAGGGTTGATGAGAGATCAGAGCGACAAGCAGTCTTGGCAAGAGCCATAACTTGGTATGTGAGATGCTCGTGAGGCTTTGTGAGGAGAAAGAGAGCTATGCATTGAGAGTAGTAAAGGTACGTTTTGGCTTTTTAGCAGAGAAGTCGTCACTAAAATGAGAGAAGAAGAAGGAAAGTAATAATAATAATAATAGAGGAGGAAGCAAGGAGCTATACCACTACTATTTCATTATTTTTAGCCAATCAGAACGCTCTGTTTCTCACCCACTCTCACCAAACGCGCGTTGCGCGAGTGTCACCCCCAAAATCGCTTATGGTGTAACAAACTCGCTTAATTCTTACAAACCCATCGCGTGTGACTTCATTTTCTTCTTTTTCTTTTTGTTTTCTTTTATCCCCTCAAGCCTTATTAATTATAATTTAAACCGAGCATAAATCAATTGTAACTCCAAAACCATGTAAACCGAACCGAAATTGTTTGCAAGTGTACCCAAATTCTAGAGATTTTTAGTGTCTGCTGCTATGGTGTTCGACAGAATGCCGCTGAGAGATTTTGTTTCCTGGAAAATGATAAAATTCTACAGATGTTTGTTACAGAGGAAGGTGGGAATCTCATGGAGCTTGCATGTGGTTTAAACACAGTACAGTTGTTGGGAAGCCACAAGCTTCTCACTCGGAGAAGGACCCAAAAATATATATGTTCAAGGAAGGAGATGAAGCTGTGAAGGTTTCCAAGTTAAGTTGGAGCCATAAGCTGTGATTGAGCACAACACTTGATTATAGGTACACATCTCTTTCTATTGCATCTTCTTCAATGTCCAGATATGTTTATGCTTTATGTTCTTGTTTTGTATGGAATGATGAAAACTAGATGTGTATTTTAACTTCTTTCAGACATGAATCATATTAGTTGACTCATCTTTGTAACATTTTGACTATGGAGTATTTGAACTGGCATTGTCAGGATTCTGTCTTGTAATCAAGTTAGACCTTATCTAGTGCTTTAGCTTGTGGCTCTCTTTTATATTGCTGAGCAAAATCTTTTCACTTTTGTGTGGCAGATTCTGATGGTCTTCAAATTTGCAACACATTGAAAACAAAATTTGACTGGATTATAGAAAGATGTACTAGTTTACATCTGACTTGACTAACACATTTTACATTTAAAGTTTTCTTATCATCAAGATCAATATAATTTCCGTATGATCATGGATTCATGATCAGGATCACCTAGTTTCTCTTTTTTCCTCCCTGAAACATTTTCAAGAGATGCTACTAGCTACTTCACTTATAAGTTGATTACACTTGGTGGCTGTATGATTTGTCTCTTTTCTGCGTTAATCATATAGAGACTAACTCAGTGGCTGATAATTTACTGTTCTACACACTTGACTTGCAGGTAACATTGCCAAAAAAAGGTTCAGACAGACGGTGAGGTCTGCAAATGTCAGGTAAATCCGTTAAGAAAAGGGCTTAAGGAGAAGATGTACGAGATCCAAACCAAGAAACTTAACACTTTGATCAAACCCAATTGCACCAGTAACGATTGTGTGAGGTTGACGCCGGATTATGATGCCTTGGATGCTGCAAACAAGATTGGAATCAACTTTAAAAGTTTTCATCTTTCTTTCTTGGTCATATACATTAACTCGCAAAACACAACCTTATGGTTCCCAACCTATTTGAACATTCTTTTTCAGCTTCCGTGATCAGTAATATTGAAATCTGCATTCTTTTGAATACATACTACAATTCCCTTTTATTGTCTTGTAATCTAGATTGTAGATTTAGATAGACTAGATATGTCTTTATCATTTCGTTGAATGAAGGGGGAAAATATAACATTCGATTACAGATAGACTTTACATAATCCAATTTTTATAATGAAGCTACAAAGATCCCAGTTTCATCTTAGCATCCTTCAATATCTCTCCACTTCAGATACACAAGCCCAGCTCTATAATGTGTGAATGCACCAGCAACCACCAGCACATGAAACAACTGATGGCTATGTCCAGCTATATCGAATTTTCCCGGCATCCATCTCTCTGGAATCCTAGTTGCATAAACCAAAGCTCCTAACCCGTAGAGCAAACCCATCAAAATCTCATAACCTGTCGTGTGAAGCGCTTCAGGTTGGTCCCAAAAGATGATCAGCTTGTGTAGAATTGGTGCTGCGCCAGAGAACCCCATTCCAAAAAACAGAGAAGCCCTCACAACTCGAAACTCTGGGCTTTGGAAAACCGGGAGGAGAGAAACAAGCACGGTGGCGATTCCTAAGATGGTTATGAATCCTAAGTAGAGGTTGCAGAAGAAAGGATCACACATGAAGGAGTAATAGACCGGAGGGTAGAAGGAAGTAGCTATTAAAGCTGCGATTCCAGCGTAATCAAGCCTAAGCATTATGTAGGAGACTCGCTCGGAGTGACATGAGAGGAGGTGGCACGTGCTGCTTGCTAATAGACAGAACATTGCACCACCTAGAAATGCATAGAATGGCCATCGGGTAATTGGCCGGAAGATCAAAGGAGCTATCATGTTTGCAAGATCTTCCCTCACTGAATACTGCAATTATAATTACAGAACAAGAAAGGAACACAATATGAACATATTTGGCAATATTTTGAAACCAATAGTGCGGGAATAGAGAGAAAGATTGTGAGTTTTACCAGAACACACATGTCAGTGTAGTTGCCATGAGAGAATCTTTCAGGCAAACAGTTATAAAGAAGGTCCATTACATGCCAACTAGATGGACTAGAAGGAAGGCGAGACATGAGCTCAGAGTGAAGTTTCTGAAGATCTGTTTTCCTCAACACATCAGGTAAACGGTGTTGAAGAGAATGAAGATCCACAACGCTCGGTACTTTCGTTGCAGTGTAAATGGTGAGCGCTAGAAACAGGAAAAACCCAATCAAGTGCCTGCAAATCCCAAAGACCACAACACATTTCAAGGTTTCTTGATCTTGAAACAAAAGGATGAATCAAGAAGGCTTGGATTCAACACTTACGTCCAAACATTCAAAGTCTCATTATGGATGGTAAAGATGCTGAGAAGGATCTGTTTGATTGGCCATTCGGATCGGTAATGACCAATGATGTACTCATTGTCTCTTAAATAAGCAGGCAACGAATGATACTCCACCAATTGATACTTCACTTTCTGCCATAACCTCTTCCCTTTCACATTATGCTTCTGTTCCATTGTTTCTGATGAGCCACCACCTTTGGGATGTAAATGTTCTTTGATCTCTGCCTCACCACCCATTTTTCTCTACTCAAATCCAAACCAAAACCCCATCACAGAAACATATCAATCAAAACAGATCTAAATCTTTTAACACAAAGATGAAACATTCCCAGAAGTTAGGAAAGTCAACAAAGTTTCAAAATTTACACATTTATGCTAAATCTTGGTTTCTTCAGCTCGTTTTCTTACCAAAAGCATCGTGCTTTTTTTTTTAAAAAAAAAAATCAAAATAAGCTGCAATTCGTAAAGGGTGTTTGAGAAAATTACCTAAATTTTCGAAAGAAGATTTGTTCTTCCGATCTCAAACCCTGTAAGATTTAAGAAATAAGAGAATTAAGAGATATTTTCTTCGATTTCGTGAATATAAGAGGAAATTATGAGAGAAGAGGTGAGATTTTTGTATGTACCTGGATCTTCAATGCCGACGTGAAAAGAAAAGAAAAAAAAAATCGACTCTCTTCTAAATCTTTAAAATCACAAAGAAGAAGAGAGAGAAAACTAAAAAGTCAATCAAAATAGATCTCAAGGTTTCGTCTTTTTTCTTTTTTGTTGGGTGTGTGAAAAAACAGAGAGTTCTTGTTTTGGTATGAAATCGAGAACGAAAGAAAAAAAAAACGATGGAAGCTCTGAAGCCACGAAGATGGAAAGATTGTATTTTTATATAATTTCAATTTGGGACCACAAGCTTTCTTTATTTCTTCTTTATTTTTATTTTGGTCGAAAAGTTTTAAATATCTAAGCATTTATAGTGTTTTTTTTTTGTTGTACGAGGAATACGGAAACAAAAAAAATATATTTATCGAACTCGACTTACAAACAAATAATTTGGTATTAGGCTATTTGCCTATATTTAAAATACATAAAAAAAATGTTTTGACGGATTGTTGCATATTTCACTATAAAACATATAGACAACGAAATGAGTACAGTTTTATCTATTTTAATTTAGTTTCAAATCTGTAATTGAGAGAATAAGATTTACAAGATTTTTTTTTTTTTGTACGAGTCTTTGACTCTGTTTTGGTTACTATTTTCTGCATAAATAAAATAGGATAATAATTCGAACAAAATACTAATTTTGGTTCCCTTATTTATGGTTTGAAGACTGAATTGCTTTCCATTTTAATCAGGCATGCGTTCATAAGTGTATTTGAGAGACCAAAAAAAAAGAGTAAAAATTTAATTTCACCGTAACATAAAATAGTGAAATTATAATTGGCATAAATGAAAGACCTAACAGATCGGTCGCAATCACCATGAGTCCATGTATAAAAAATATCTACTGCAAAAGGAGTATCTTGTGGGAATATTACTTTTAGTTTATTCGGACAAGCAGAAGATATTCGTTTTTTTCTATCCCCATGCATCCTTTACAAGTTTTGTTTATGTCGACTTGGTTACGTTACGTGCTCCAAACTGTGGCGCTTTGTGTAATTTGACACTCTTTATCAAAGTTTTCACTTATCTTTTTCTTGCCAACCATACTAATCTCCCATATAGAGAAACATACACGTTAGAATAATTAAGACGTTCTCCTCCATATATGTTTAAAAGGCTTGCCAAATCAAGTTAGTTATAGTTATATGGGCTTGAGATCCTTAAAAGCCCACTTAATAGGTCGGCGACTTTTGAAATTACGACGCAGACCGAGATTGGTTTTATAGTACAGAATATAATGACCAGACCGAATCGGTTCAACTAACTTATATTCGATTTATTGACCGAACCAAACAACTTTGACTCCACGTGGGGACATAGTTCTGCACAACCAGAGACATTCAAAGACTGCCGTCATATCAAGTGAGAAGAAATTAAGGCACTCTACGGCACTACTCCCGCCGCCGTTTCCGACTCTATACCGCCGTCACCTACCGGTTTAATTTTAAGTTGTAGAATTAGTTCGAATCCTCCCACCTAAATCCCAAGTCTAACGATGTTGGAGCGAGGAGCTTTTGTGGGTTCTTCTACTTGTTCAAACTGCTATGTACCTTTCCAATTTCGTCAGACGAGCAAGTTTTTTTCGTCATTCAGGCCGAAAAATAAGCTTAATCCTGGTCAATTCCGGTTTAGCTGTCCATGGTTTGAACCGGTTAGCTCTGTAACGGCGGCGAAATGCAATATGTTTGACTACGCGGTGAGTGCAGGCGGAGATGTGGAGGCTGAGCATCAGGTGGACGACAAAGAGTTTGTACGTTGGTTCCGTGAAGCCTGGCCTTATCTTTGGGCTCATCGTGGCTGCACATTCGTCGTTATTATCTCCGGCGAGATCATCTCTGGCCCTTACTGTGATCCCATTTTGAAGGTACAGTCTTTTTCTCATCCTCTTCACATTTTACTTTGTTTTATGACAAAAAAGCACGCAAGTTGTTCGATTGTTTGTCTCACTGAGATTTGTTAACTTTTCTATATTTTAAGTTTGCTCCTCACTGAGGCTAAATTGTTACTGTGTCCTGAGTGTAGTTCAAAATTTTGAACTTTCGGTCTTTGGTTGTTATGTTATGATTTTTCTTTGCAATGTGCTTCAAATTTCAGTTCTCATTTTGGATAGAAAGTGAAGTCGTTTGATTTGTGTGCAGGACATTGCGTTTCTTCATCATCTGGGAATCAGGTTTGTTCTAGTTCCTGGAACTCAAGAGCAAATCGACCAGCTTCTGTCTGAGAGAGGTCAAAATAATAACTGAATATTTCCTTTAGTTTTGTCTTGATGCTAGAATCTTCTAGACTATAAACGTTGCTAGTGTTAAGTAATTGTTTTGCAATCTACGAGGCTAAAGATATGTTAATTGCAGGACGCGAGGCTACATATGTGGGACGTTACAGAGTGACGGATGCAGCATCTTTGCAGGCTGCCAAAGAAGCTGCAGGAGCAATATCAGTGATGCTTGAGGCCAAATTATCTCCTGGACCCTCTATTTGCAATATCCGTAGGCACGGTGATCGTAGTCGTTTACATGATATAGGTGTAAGGGTTGATACCGGTAACTTCTTCGCAGCTAAAGTGAGATTTTCCACTTTCTTGATTTGTTTGTTCATTTGAAATTAGGTCTTATCATATTCGTTCTGTATGACTGATGATTATCTTGGATCTTTCTGTGCAGAGAAGAGGCGTTATTGATGGTGTTGATTTTGGAGCGACAGGTGAAGTGAAGAAGATAGATGTTGATCGGATTTGTGAGAGGCTTGATGGTGGTTCCGTAGTATTGTTGAGGAACTTGGGTCACTCTAGCTCCGGAGAAGTATTAAATTGCAAGTATGGTTGCTCTTCTTCTCAAAGAAATACTTCATTTTACCTTAAATAGATTGAATTTTCTCACACTACTCTACTTCTGCAGTACCTACGAGGTTGCTACAGCTTGTGCTTTAGCTATAGGAGCAGATAAGCTTATTTGCATAATGGATGGTCCAATTCTTGATGAGAGTGGACATCTTATTCGTTTTTTGACACTTCAAGAAGCAGATATGTTAGTTAGAAAACGTGCTCAACAGAGTGACATAGCTGCAAATTACGTGAAGGCCGTTGGAGATGGAAGTATTGCTTATACCGAACCTCTTCACAACACTAACGGTAAGAATACTTCTCCCCAAAATGGGAGAGCAACATTTTGGGGAAACGGAAACCAAACTCCAATCTTTCAGAACGGTGTTGGATTTGACAACGGGAATGGATTGTGGTCTGGTGAGCAAGGTTTTGCTATTGGTGGTGAGGAAAGACTGAGCCGCTTAAACGGTTACCTTTCTGAACTGGCTGCTGCGGCGTTTGTCTGCAGAGTGAGTGTTTTTGAAACCATGGTCTTGCTTCTATTTGCCACCATTAAATTAAAACTCTTTCTTCTGCTCGTCTTATGAAGGGTGGAGTCAAAAGAGTTCACTTGTTGGATGGTACTATAAGTGGAAGTCTATTGTTGGAACTTTTCAAAAGAGATGGACTGGGGACTATGGTTGCTAGGTACATGAATTATTTTTGTCTTGACACACATAAAAACCCGGTTTACTGTTCTTACAATTCTGTATTTCCCGTTACCTACAGTGATCTTTACGAAGGAACCCGAGATGCCAAAGTGGAAGATCTTGCAGGTATTAGACATCTAATCAAACCCTTAGAAGAATCAGGGATTTTGGTTCGCAGAACCGATGAAGAGGTAAAAGCTTAACTATATTTTGCATCTTATCGTTTCATCGTATTAAGACTTGTTACGATGTTAAAGGTTTGACCTTTCGAGTGCAGTTACTGCGAGCTTTGGATTCTTTTGTTGTTGTGGAAAGGGAAGGTCAGATCATTGCTTGCGCAGCTTTGTTTCCATTCTTTGAAGACAAATGTGGAGAAGTTGCTGCAATAGCAGTTGCATCAGATTGTCGCGGTCAAGGCCAAGGCGATAAATTGCTTGGTAAATAACTCAAACCACCCTCTTTCTGTTATATTTGCAGAGTAGAAGCTACAGAAGCTCAACACAATCTATTTATGCAGATTACATAGAGAAGAAAGCTTCATCTATCGGGTTAGAAAGGCTATTCCTACTCACAACCCGAACAGCGGATTGGTTTGTGAGACGAGGGTTTCAAGAATGTTCAATCGAGATAATACCAGAGACCAGAAGACAAAGAATCAATCTTTCTAGAAAATCAAAGTATTACATGAAGAAGTTACTACCTGATAGAAGTGGCATTTCAGTTCTGAGGGTATAAACAAGTGAGCATCATCATCAAGAAGCAAAACAAGTAGAATCACAGTGCCATATTGTAAGAACAATCAATATTCATAATCTCAAAAATTTCAGATCGTTTTGATTTCCAACAATTCAAATACATCTTATTTTAATCTCAATCTCAGAACATTGTTGTGTGTTATCATTCCAAAGACACTACAGCACCTACCGCTTTGAGTTTCTCCATGATCTTCTCAGCTTCTTCTTTAGTAATACCTTTCTTCAAAATCACTGGAGCTTTCTCAACCAAATCCTTAGCTTCTTTCAATCCAAGATCCGTGAACGATCTTATCTCCTTAATCACTTTAATCTTCGATGCCGCTTCGAATTTCTCAAGCTTCACATCGAATGCCGTCTTCTCCGCCGTTTTGGTATCCGCAGAACCTGAGGCGTCGGCATCACCACCAGATCCGGCAACAGCTACGGCGGAACCATACCGATTGAGACCTAGTTTATGGCTGAAGAGGATTGAGTAATCGTAAAGCTCAATCCTGTTCAGTTTTAGTAAATCGTCAGCGATGCGCTCGAGCTTCTGCGTCCGAGCCTCGGGAGAAGCGACGGCGCCTAGGTGACGAAAACCGCCGGACAGAGGCGTCGTACGGTGGAGTAAACCGAGAGATCTCGAGACAAATCTGGCGATCGGAGCTCGCATTTTCGCCGGTGAAAAGGTTTTTGTTAGGGTTTCTTCGCCGTCCGTTCAATTTCACTTCATTTTGCCGTTACTTCTTTTCGCTCGTCAAATCAAATGGGCTTTCTGAAGGCCCATATGAAAGGCCCTTTAGAGATTACAATTATGCACCAAACCAAATCCACCAACCCAACCAAACCAATTGTAGAAGCCGAAAAATTAAAATATATAAAAAGAAAAGACTGCTTTAAGCTAAAATGAAGTCATATATTTTTCCTGTTTGAACTTGACGTTAAACTAAACAAAAAAAAAAAGGGTTTGCAATAATATATATAGATAGATTAAATAATGTAGCTCTCTATTCAACACAATTTATTTAAACTGAACTTTAATTCAAACACTTTGAAAGTTTTTCTACAAAATTATTTGAATTAATTTTTTGATAACATAGTAAATCGCGTATATATTGGAACAAAATTAGTTGTGAACAGGGCAACTAAAATTATTGTAAACAATATAAAAAATAAATATAATGGTTATTTCCTTCTATCATTTTACAAAGCTCATTTAAGCTTTGACTAGAGAAATGAGATACATAATACGTTTTTATTTCTTACAAGATTCAAAATATTGCTGACTCGCAATGTAAAAGCAAACTGAATTTGTTTAAATCGGCCCATAGATTAATCTATATACTTTATAGGACTAATTGAGATATTCCATATTCCTAAATATAAAGTTACATGCATATTTTTAGTTAGATAGATGTGTGTAATGGTCAAGTCGTGGTACAAAAGGGACCCAAGAAAGGGGTTTTGATTCTAGTTAAAGCAAAATTGGGCCAACCAAAAGACTTTTTTTTTTTAATATTACTAATCTGCTTTTTGCATGACTTTATAAACAAGAAAACAGACCAAAAGAAGATAGATTTTAGAAAAAGATTAGCTTAAAAAGCGAAGCTAAAGATCGTACCGATTAACATGGGGGAGGCAAAAGCCTCTCATCAAAAGATGCAGGGAGAGATAGAGTGATGAGAGTTGTGTAGTGAAACCAGCCACATATCTCAAAAGCAGTTCCCACTACTTTGTTTCTTATTTTTTTATCAATTACTCTTAAAGCAATAATTACATATGTAGTAAACGTTGGTATCAAATGGATTATTTCAACTATTTACTTTTTATGGGCTGTTTTCTAAATTAAAACATTATGGGGGGTAAGCGGGGCCATGAACATTCGTAGGTATATGCATGTGTAATCCATTGAAGACATATAATACATTTATATTTATATATGTGAAATCAAATAAAAGACTGGTCCCTTTATCTCTTTTTACAAAAGCAAAAGGTGAAAGGTGCATTATTAAAAAAGGCAATATGTATAAATGGTATATACTCACATGAACGACAAATGAATAAGTATAAGGTTATGAGATTAATCTTATACTCCAATGAGTACCACTACCACGCATCAGAAAGTAAACCGTCTAAGTTTGTTTTCTTATAATCATAGTTAACCATTTACATACGGTGGTGCTACCTAAACGTTAAATTACTTGCATTGCATGTAGACATAAATAGCCATTTACCACCAATAATTTAAAGTGAATATTGCAATTAGATTAACATCGCCAAGCAAATATCACTTTTGTTTAGCGTAAAAGTTGTCAATAAATTTTCCGAAACTCAATGATGCATGCAGATGCAGTTGGATCACAAAGTGTTTTTGAGGTCCAGTGTTCTAAGTTTGATCAAATTATGTGAAAGTTACATATAATTAAGTTTCTTCTGTGAGTCTTAATTAGACGTTCACTTCTAATTTTACTCGTACGCATGGGGTCGTATGTGTTTTACATATAGATTAATAAGACCGATTATAAATGATCAAAAAATTGTTAATATACATATCAAAAGCGTGCAAGCCACTAGAGGTGCATCCACGAGATTCCAAACGAAAGTAGCTGTCGTATTCAAGAACCGAGATGGAAGTGAAGTAGCTAGTGAACATGTTTTACGAAGAAACATGGGATAATCATTAATCATATATAACCCAAGTAGTATTAACTGTTGCTGAATTTTTCTAATTAATATATTTTCTACCATAGTGAAATTCCAGTTAAATGATCATGCAATGTAACAGTAAAGAAGCAAAACTACGTTATATAGTTATGAGCTTCTCGTGTATAGAACAAGATATTCATAATATATAGAGGAAAATAAATCATATTCTTTAGGATAAACCAGAGTACGTAATCACAAATTTAATTCCAAAACAGTAGAAAAAAATACAAAAAAAAAAAAACAAAAACAAAAAAAATCACGAATTGTATGAACCTTAATTGATACCTCCTCAATGATCATAATTACTTAATCAGTCCTATTCCAAAAGCCAAATTCAAATTACGAACGCATCATCATCGTCATAATCTCAAAAACCCATCATGAACCATCACCACACGTGTGAAACCATCTCGTAATAGAAAAAGCGCGCGTGCGAGTTTTTTTTTTATATCAAATAAAAAGGAAAGAAGAAAAAACCCTTTACGTCGGCCGCCACGCACTGGCCCAAACCACCGGCTGATCTCTCCAACAAAGGAATATTCCGGCGGCATCAGGACACTGTACCATCGACCAAACACCTTCTTTATATCTCCTCAACAAAGCTCTGACGTCATCCGCAACCTCATCACTATATCCCACGGCTCCAAACCCACCGTTCCTCATCCTCCTCGACCACTTCCTCGCCGTCTCTCTCCTCTCCGTCGAATCAGACGCCTCACAAGCCACAAGATCAACTATCGCACGTCCCGAGGCACGTTCTAGCATCAACCTCTCGTTGCTCGTCCTCGGAAAGCTCTCTTCCCATGACTCGAAGCAAACCCTAAACCATCGTAAACATTCTCCGAACCCTCTCAAGAACTCATCGTCAAAGCCACCTTCGTCTTCCCCGATAAGATCAGCTTCTTCTTCGACGACCGTCACAATCCTCGGCCTTAACCGTCGAAAACTCGATATCACAGCGTCTCTAGGGTTTCCACGTGGCGCGATCCCATGCATCGCACCTACACAGTTAATGGCCAAGACCTCGTCTGGTTTAACATCAAGCTCGTTGAGATCAAACTCTGATAAATCTCCGACGTGATGAATAATGTTGAATTTAAAAGGAACTCCCATAAGCCTCGCAAACTTCTCCATTCTGTTTCCGATCTCTTTCATCATCCGATGAGACGCGGTTTGATCGTTCACAAACTTGTTGGCCACGACTACTGTGGTTAGCCTTAGGTGTGGCGTGTCGTCTGATCTTGTTGCTAGAGCTTCTAGAAGAGTTGGCCATTGAGTGCAAAACGTCGAGCTTATGTCAACGATGTGGATCTTTGCTTCTCCGTCTACTGCTTCCAAGATCGCCCCGTTTGCAGCAACGTGCCCAAACGTGGCCCAGGGGCTAACTTCTTGGAACTTGAGAACGGTTTTGCGCGTTGACTCGAAGGAGCAAGTCTTCTCTGTGGCTGCAGCTGTTACCATGGTTCGGTAGCAACGTTCGCCTGAGCCGGTCATGCGGTTGAAGAGAGCTTGGAGGAAGTAGGAAGCAAGTTTTTGCTCGGTGTCTCCGTACGGAGAAGAGAGCTCGTTGAGCGTCCATAGGATTTGTTGCGCACGTGCGGTGTCCTTGTCGGAGAAGGCACGTGCTGCTTCGAGGAGGATCGAGTCAGCCCACTTGGCATTGGCTGAGAAGTCGAAGGAAGGAGGGGTTTGGGGGATGGAGAAAGCGGAAGGGTCATTGTGGTGGCCGGAGGAGGAGTAGGGCGAGGCTAAGGCTGCAGCCGCGGCGGCGGTGGAGGAAGGAGTGGATGACGTGGCGGGATGGTATTGGGTGGGAGTAGTGAAAGAAGAATAGTAATTACTAGGATTGGTATGGTGATGGTTGTGGTGAGAAGAAGAAGAGGAGAGGTCTTCTTCATCCATGAAAAAGTTGAAGCATTCTTCGACGACGTCGTTTTGTGGAAAGTTGTAGTGATAAGCAGTTTGTGGAGAGCCGGTAGTGGTGGTGGAGGTTCTGCTTAACGAAGATTGATTTGTAATGATACTATCGGATTGTTGTTGTTGTTGGAGACTGACTAGTCTAAAGAGAGTATCCATATTTTTTTTTTCTTTAATGAATAAGAAAATCAATAGGAAAGAGAGGGGAGACCCACAATATCTAAGATTTAATACTTTGTTGTGTATATTGCATCAGCATCATGTGTTGTATATATATGTGTGTATTTTTTTCTCAGTGGGAGTAAGTAAAATCTAGATGAAGGTGAGTTGTAGAGAATGGGTTTGGTGGATTTGTGAGTTTTTATTAGTAATTTAAAAGACAATGGGGAGATATTTTATAAAAAAAGAAGTGCATGAAAAGAGGATTTACTCTGCATCGAATTGTTGTCCCATGTTTATCTTTTGGACTTTATAGACTGTTTGAATCTAATTGGGTTTAGTGAAAACATAATTAGAAAGAGAAAGAACCGGTTTTTTTGAGTTTTTATATGGAGGCAAATCAAGAATGTTATTTTTGTTTTCTACTATATACATAACTGAAATTTTTGGACATAACGATCCTAACTTTATGCAGGTTTTGTTTCCTTCGGAACATGTAGGTTTTAACTCAACAATAGATGATGTTTTAGATTAAGAAAAATATTCATAAACACAATAAGTGACAAACTATAATCAGTTATAAGCAAGAGCTTAATATTTTTACATGGGAGTGTATTAGTTAAAAGATTTGGAGGTTTCATTAAGCAGAAAAAAGATGCTGACAAAAGAAGATGATGAAACATAAAAATAAAAAATAAAAGAAGAAAAAGATAAAATAAGTCAATATCATGTAATGGCTTAGTGGGTTTCGCTTTTCCTTCTTTTTCTCACATCGATCCACCCGAGTTTTATTTCTTCTTCTAAATTTTTAGTATAATGTTTCATAATGCATCTATATGATACTATATATGAATATTTTCGAGTTTGGGACACCTAGAAATTGAAAACGACATACATTAAAAAAAGCCGTATATGATACGCTGTTTGTTTATATATAG